TGTTAAGAGATATTTTGCTTGAAGAAGAAATAAAAGAGAAAAAATGAAAAAATGAGAAAAAAGAAAAATGATGGAAAAAATGAAAAGAAAAAAAAAAGAAGAAAAAATGGAAAAGGGGAGAAAAAATGAAAAATGAAAAAAGAGAAAAATGAAAAAAAGAGAAATTAAAGGAGGGTTCAAGATGAAAACCCGAAAAGGGTGTCTTGGAACCAAAGGAGGTCTCAAGTTGAAAACCCGCAAAGGGCGACTTGAGTTGAATTTGAAATTCAGAATTCGTGCATGGTGGAGGTTCTAAATCAATTTTGGAAGTGAAAAGAGCTCCTGATATGGATAGTAACAATGACAGTTGGTGATCAGGGATGAGACTAAAGATTAATGAGTCTCGATTGAAATAACCAAGAGAAATTGAATGCACATGAGATTCAATACTGGTTTAGGGCATCCAATGATAGAGATCTGGGAGTTTAGAAGCAGCTTCATACTCTTAAGCATCACAATTTTGGAGATCTTTTTGACAGAAGCTACACTCGAGACATTCTAACGGCGTGCCAGTTCAAAAGCATTTGCATTATTGATATTTGAAGACGCCTACTCTTTTGTTCTTTTGCTTTTTCCAGTTAAAAGTTTTCCATGAAATTACCTTAAAATTCTCTACATTTTATAAATAAAGAGATGTATTTTCTTGTTAATTTCCCTCTTGCAAACATCTTATTTTGAAAGGTTAAAACATATAGCTTAACTTGAAGTACATGAGATCATTTTGTATTATTGTGCAAAAGGTTTTGGAAAATGTAGGTATTCTGAAGCTGAAGATGGTTTTAACATGTAAGCTTGTGTGATTACGGGAAAATAAAATCTTGAAATTCATAGAAAATCTCAGCCATGAGAAGAAGACCTAAAGAGATTGTCATTAATTAAGAAGTTGGTTATGGGTACTGGTGGGTTTTCAGGAAAGAAAGAAGTCAAGGCCCTGTTAAGCTGAGAAATATGGAATTGAGATTGTTAGCTGGGGTGAACTGGTCAAACGTTCTGTGCCCAAGATGAAGCCGAGTTCCATTGAGATCAAAAGGAGATAGTGTTCCTTCGAAGAAGAAAATGCATTAAATTGCATAATTGCATACATTTTAGGCATGAATAGGATCATGGAATTCATAATTGCATGATGACTTAAATATTTATAGGTTTCACAGGGATAGTTGAAGATTGAAGATATTGAAGCATCGAGATGAACATAACTGGTTTTGAGATTTTGAAAAGAATGATGTTTATACGAAAACTGAGCCAAAGTAGATTTGCATATCCAATGGCTTCCAGACAAGTTTTCACGATGGAGATGGATTTTCAGAAATTTTCTCAAATTCTAAATTTTTGAGTATAATATTTTTCAAACATATATTAATGATTGGTAATGTTTGATTTTCAGGTTTGACCTTCGAAGCAAGTCAATCTTAAGCCTTCACGGAAGAGTAGTGAAGCAAGTCAATCTTAAGCCTTCACGGAAGAGTAGTGAAGCAAACTTATTTTATAAAGATCGAGCCCTATACTCTCTGAAGGAATAGGGAGCGGACACGTTTGTTGAAGATCGAGTCCTATACTCTCTGTAGGAATAGAGAGTGGACCCGTTTTATGAAGATTGTTCGAGTTCTATACTCTCTGAAGGAATAGAGAGCGGACCCGTTTATGAAGATTGTTCGAGTTCTATACTCTCTGAAGGAATAGAGAGCGGACCCGTTTTATGAAGATTATTCGAGTTCTATACTCTCTGAAGGAATAGAGAGCGGACCCGTTTTGTTGAAGATTGTTCGAGTTCTATACTCCCTGAACGGATAGGGAGCGGACCCGTTTTATGAAGATTGTTCGAGTTCTATACTCTCTGAAGGAATAGAGAGCGGACCCATTTTGTTGAAGGTTGTTCGAGTTCTATACTCTCCGAAAGAATAGGGAGCAGACCCGTTTTATGAAGATTGTTCGAGTTCTATACTCCCTGAACGGATAGGGAGCAGACCCGTTATTTGAAGATTTTTCAAGTCTCGCTTATCCTGAAGTAACAGAGAAGCGGATTAATCTTTTGAAGTTCTAATGGTCGGACAAACTTGATCATCTATTCTTCTTTGCTCTATTTTCGTTGCACGACAATGAGCAAAGAGGGGCAGCTGTAGATTCTCGGTTTTGTCCGGGGCTAGGTCGGAGCAGACCCAAAGCAGAGCAGTTGGAGGCCCAAACCAATGACCCGACAGAGCAGCCCAAATCAGTCCAAACAACATGTTATACTAGCATCCAGTCCACGTGAGTTCTGGAAAAACACAAACGAATATCCAGTGGGAAGGAGAGAAGTAGTGTTTGATCGTGGGTGGGATACTAAACTGTAAGTTGGTTTTTAATTTGTAATTAACCACTGGAAACTAAAGGGGGGGTCAGTTTTTAATGGGAAACTAACCACCAGAAACGGGGGGGAGAAGGAAAAATCAGACAGCAAAAAAAAACGAGCAGGAGATTACAGAGAGAACGAAAAGGAAAGAGGGGAATTTGTAAAAGTTTCTGGTTCAACATTTGAAAAGCAATAAAAAGAAACAATTTTTTTTCTCTCCTGATTTTCACTCTCACAATCGCAAGGATATCAATCATTCACAAAAGGGCAGTAGCATTCTTTCAAGCAAAAACAACAAAAAAAACATCAAGCATTAATAAGGAGGTATTTCATCTTATTTTGTTTATTTTTACTAACTATTCGTATATGTGGTATTTATTTAGGAAGAAAATAAAGGTAAGGATAGAAATACAGTTAGATTTACCTCTGGTTCTGTTTTGATTGATTGTCGATGTCGTTGCTGCATCGAGGTTGGGTTTCTATCCCGTTTGGTTCGTTTTTCTTTGGTGTTTAGGGGGTGAAGCTCTCGGGTTCGTAGTCTGAGATTGGTTCAACACCGAGTCATGTTGGTTTCATACGTTTTGAAATCTTGTTTAGACTAGAAGCAAAATCAGAAGAAAAGTTAAAAGAAAGGTTCAGCTTAGCTTATCTCGCCGGTTCTGGTCCTCGTCGGAGTCCATAGGTGGTGTTGGTCGTTCGTTTTGGTTGAGGGCTAGAGAGGAAGGAGGCGTCTAGGCTCATTAGGTCGATTCGGGTGCTTCATCGCTGGTGACCACCACGGTGGTGGTCGGAAAGGTGAATCGTGCCTATATAGGGCTTTAGGGTTATCACAGAGGGTCGAGAGAAGAGGCGAGAGGGAGAGTGGAGAAGATGAGAGGGTATTACGACTGGGAATGAAAGCAATTAATTTAGGGTTTAGTTTTCACCCTATATTTTGTATATATGAATTCATTGAAACGGTAGTGTATAGGGCATACATTTTACGCGTGGTTTATCTGTGGGATGATCCATTCAATATTCCAATGTTATGCATTTTGGTCCATAAACCATGCTTTCGCGTTTCTGATTTTGTAACCTTGTTTTGCACCTATTTTATTTCGGTATGTATACTTTATGCACATTTAATTCTCTTCCTAAAGTGTTTATTGTACTTAGTTTTTGCTCTTTAGATATTAGACCTTTAAATTCTTACATGTTGGATTTTAGTCCATTTGGTTTGTTAAATCGAATTTTGCATTATTTGTGTTTCTGGCCTATTACTTTGAAAGTTTATGCTTTGATCCCTTGCGAATTGTTATTTTATGGCCCCGATGTTTGTAATATTTTGTACGTAAATTCATTGATGCATGTTTAAGATACAAATGCGTGTAAATAAACATATATATATATTCAATAATTAGGTTTAAGTTTGAATTAATATACTTGAGTAAATATCAATTGTAACATGTTGAATATTTCTTTTTAATAATTACGTGAATTTGCATTGGGGATGTTTATTATATGCTATATTTAGATGCTATGGTTTTGTATGCTTAGACTTCATATATTTAATTTAGGTAAGATAGTATAATGCTTAATTTAAGTTCCATTTTATTCATTTGCGTACATGTAGGACTAGTCATTTTATCTTGATTGAATGTTGTATGATATTTTTAATTATAATATTTGTTTAATTAATTTTTGGCATGTGACATACTTTTTGCATAATTTGTATGATATCCTCATGTGCATAACTCGATTTATAAATACATAATCGGACTAAGGGTAATACCCTTTTAATTTAAAATTGTCTTGAGCGGCTTGTCTTAACTGATTAGAGTCGTTTTGACTATTTTAAATTAAAAGCGTATCCCGGAAGTGAAACCAAAAAAAATGATTTGTCACCTAAAATTTGGGAATGGAAGAAAAAGAAATGTTCGATTATTTAAATTTATCGAGAAAAGGTTGTTATATCTTTTAAGATCTAGTCTCGATAGTTGTAAATAATCGAACATTCTTTATCTTTCTAAAATGACTTGGCAATTTTAATTTAATTCGTTTGAGTGTTCTTGAATGTTTTAAATTTACATTTTTGTTTTATGGGATCAAAAATCAAATTAAGTTCGAATTTGTAAAGTTCATTGCAAAAACGTTAATTAATCGACTAGGTACCGATTTAGGACGTTGTGGGGGTGCTAATCCTTCCCCACACGTAACCGACTCCTGAACTCAAATTTTGGTAACGCATACCTCAATTTTTTGTTTTAATTAAAATTAATTTTTATTTAAAATGACAAAGCATTTTTGGGTGCCCAATCACACCCTAATCAAAGATTGGTGGCGACTCTTTGAACCGTATTTTTCGATCGTAAAGGAAATCCAAAAATTTTCGAAACGAGAGGTCTTTTAAATCGCATTTGTTTTTAAATTAAAAAGAGATAATTAAGAATTAATGTGGTTTTTAAAATCTCACTTTTTTCACTTTTTAAGAAAAAATTGTTTCGACACCTATGAAAGGCTTAAGGTTTTCGCAGATTCTCCCTTTCAAATTTGTGAAAAAAATTGTGTGCTTTTTGGTTATTTAGAAAACGAAGGAGTCCCCCTGGAAATTCTGGGAACTTATCGTATTGTTGAAATATTAGCTAATTGGTTCGTTTAAAATGGACTATGTTTTGTTAAATGTCGAATCCATTTTGATTGTTCTAATATCGATAGAGCTCTGAGAATTGCTATATATTATATGCATGATCAGGTTGGTAATGCCGAAACTCTGAATTGTTACTATGCTCATGGCGAGCAGAACCCGACTTTTCAGAGACGTAGCTATTGGATGCTGGACCCGTAAGTTTGCTCCGTAGGCTATTTATTTATCGAACTTTGTCGCTGTACATATATGAAATATTTGCTAATAGTTTAGTACTTTGGCAGAGCATATGAGCATATTGTTCTTGTTCATTATAGAGAGACAAATGAGGTATTTCACATCACCCCTTTATGAATTCATCCTTTTGAGCCCCATGTGCTCTCTCGAAGCTAGGTTTCTGAGCAGTTTTGGTTTAATGTACTTACTCTGTGGCTGATAGTGTCTGATATAAATTCATGCCGTTCAGCATGAGAGTTTAACATACTTTTAACTTCAAAACTAGTGTCATTCTTCATGATTGTATACAGGCGAAATCCACTCCGGCATCCATCGTGCAGTCACCAGTATCCTCCTCACTCTTAAGTACAAGTCCGAACTCTTATACTTCTCAAAATCCTGGATCCAACACTCTAGCCCATGATCTAGACAAAACATATCAGAACTTGTCTAGTCCAGGTTCTGTTGAAGTTAGCTCTGATATAGTTACTAGAGAAGCTTTAAAGAGACTTGAGGAGCAGTTAAGTTTGACTGAGGACAGCTTCGAAGAGGTTAGTCCTTTCTGCAGCCTTGGTGGGAATAGAGATGAGTCAAAATTTCTGGAATATGGAAGGGAGATTGCCAAGCCGGACCGACAAGCAGATCTATTGTATGAGCCTGGTGTTGTTGCTCGAGGTTGCCTTTATTCTCAACCTGCTAGGGTTGAAAAAAATTATTCAAATAGTTTCTCGCTGCTTTCCGATGGAGGTCTGTACATTTGTTATTTCTTTGGTCATCAAAAATGTCAAAATCAGCTTGTTGATGTTCTCAATTTTTTTATCTTTAGCAGTCGCATGAAGATGCTTTTGTTTTGGTGGACTTAGAAGTAGGTTCTTAAATATTTGATTAACTATCCAGAGAAAATCAATTTGTTGAGGTGAAAGGCGAACTTTTTTCTCTTGATGTTTTTTTATAGTTTGAACTCACATACCCTTGAACCCGGTCACTTGTATGGAAGGGCTGCCCAGCAACCAACGGCACTATCATTCGTGTAACCCTTTTTGCTCTTGCAGAGACTCAAACCCTTGTCCTTTGAGGCAAATAACAACATTGTAACCAAACAGGCTACAACCGATTTTTACTCTCTTGATTTTTGTTGGTCAACTGCATTTATAAGTGCAGTATGCTGTTGTTTGTTTGAACATCATAAGGACATACGGTTATCGAGTTTAATGGCTAACCTCTGTTTCTGTTTTTCTTGATTGATTCTTAAATATGATGTATGCAAGGAGGAAGCTGATGAGAGTTGCTACTATTTCTCTGTAGGTAACATTGGTGAACATTGTCAAGCATATGGCAAAGACAATTCAGATGGAAGTCAGGAATCTCTATATTGGAACTGTGTATTAGACTCATACACGAATCAATCAGGTGTTTACTCCCAGGTAAATGCTTCTCTATGTGGCTCCAACTTCATTTTTCTATAATTACTTATATTTGACACTATTTTTCTACACGAGTTTGGAAATATGGTCGTCCAACTACATGGAAATACTTGAGAAAAATTAAACATGCCTATGTTCGACACATCCATATTTGACACACCCCTGCATGAGTGACAGTTTTTCTCATAAATATCAAAGAATGGCAAGTGTTTTACCATTTGCACGTTAATTGTCCTGTATAGTATATTACTTGCCACAGCGTAAAGATTCACGTCTGCTCTTGCGGATTTGTTCCCAACCACATATTTCATTGCTCTACGAGCGTAAAGCAACAATACCTGTATAATAAGCTGTTATATGTCATTTTCTAGCTATTCAATTCTCAGTTACATTTTAGCCAAGGTTATATTGCAATATCTGGGGTTCCCAGACCTACTGCAACTCCCCTTCTGAAACGCGGGTACCTGACCAGTATGAGACCAATAATTTTTTCCCCTGCTATAAGGAGAATTTGTTTGTCCTAAAACAGGGAAAGCTTTTATCTTCTTCAAGGAAAGAACAAGCCGAGCATCTGGAACAGTCTGGTTGGCTGAATTTCAATGCATCTAACTTCAACGACTGTATGATCTCCTGCTCTTGACAGTAATTTTGACACTAGAAATTCAAGTTTTTAGTTTATTTTGTCAAGGTCTGACCATTTCTTTCTCTCCCAGCTTCTGTATTTCAACATAAAGAAGTTAAAAATGTTGAAATCCCTTCGGGTCCTGCTGCAATACAAGATCTTGGAACCGTTTCCGATTTTGATAAGATATTCAACCAAGACAAAATTGGAATTCCTCTTGTAACAAGTCCGAGCTCGACTGTTCCACAGAAGCAGAAGTTCACAATTCAAGAAATTTCTCCGGAGTGGGGTTATACCAGTGAGGTTACGAAGGTGAGCCAAGGATTGTTTATCACTGGAACTCTATTTTTTCATGAGGTCCTTTGACTTTACTGCTTCTGTTAAAGCGTAAACAAATTTAAAGTATAATTTGCACGCGTAGGTTATCATTGTTGGATCTTTTCTCTGTGATCCATCTGAATCCACCTGGGCATGTATGTTTGGTGAGACTGAAGTTCCTCTTGAGATCATTCAGGACGGTGTTATCTGTTGGAAAGCTCCTCCGCACCTTCCCGGAAAGGTCTCACTCTGCATCACTAGCGGCAACAGAGAATCCTGCAGTGAAATCAGAGAGTTCGAGTATAGAGTCAATACTAGTAGATGCTCTCGGTGTAATTTACCAAACACAGAAGCTTCTAGAAGTCCAGAAGAGCTATTGTTACTGGTCAGATTCATACAGGTGCTTCTATCGGATTCCTCTTTGCAGAAAGACAGCATCGAGTCAGGAATACATCTTCCAAGAAAGTTGAAAGCTGATGATGATTCATGGAATAATGCCATAGAGGCTCTTCTAATTGGGAGTGGGACTTCCTCTGGTACCGTTGATTGGCTTCTGCAAGAGCTTTTAAAGGACAAGTTGCAGCAATGGTTAGGCTCTAGATCCAATGAAACACTTGATCAGTCAGGCTGCACCATGTCAAAGCAGGAGCAAGGAATAATACACATGGTTGCTGGATTGGGCTTTGAGTGGGCCTTAAATCCAATTTTAAACAGTGGAATCAGTATAAATTTCCGAGACATCAATGGGTGGACTGCGCTCCATTGGGCTGCTCGATTTGGAAGGTAATCAAGATTATAACTTTTAAAGACAAAAATTGCATTGATGAATCAAACTGATTAATTGTGTTTAACAGAGAAAAAATGGTTACTGCTCTTATAGCCTCCGGTGCTTCGTCTGGGGCTGTGACAGATCCAACCTCACAAGACCTGACTGGCCAAACCGCGGCATCAATTGCTGCCTCCAGGGGACATAAAGGACTTGCAGGTTATCTTTCAGAGGTAGCTCTGACTAGTCATCTTTCATCCCTTACACTTGAAGAAAGTGAGCTTTCCAAAGGAACAGCTACACTTCAGGCTGAAATGGCTGTGAATAGCATCTCAAAGGGGAGCTTTGCCAACAGTGAGGATCAGCTTTCACTTAAAGATACCTTGGCTGCTGTCCGAAATGCAGCTCAGGCCGCTGCACGTATACAAAATGCTTTCCGAGCACATTCTTTCAGGAAACGACAAGAGAAAGAAGTTGCTGCTGCTAGTGTAGATGACTACGGTATATGTTCAGATGAAATTGAAGGTCTTCCAATTATGTCAAAGCTAGTTTTTCGAAATTCCCGTGATTACAATTCAGCGGCTTTATCTATTCAGAAGAAATTTCGAGGCTGGAAAGGTCGCAAAGATTTTCTAGCGCTTCGCCGGAAAGTTGTAAAAATACAGGTATTAACTTCCCCAGTGTTTCGCTCGAGAGTTGTACAAATATTCTTCTCTCCCCCTGTCAAATCCTAGGTATCAGGTTGGTGTATAAGATGGAATGTTTCAAAATCCTTGACTTTGCCTTTTGTATCAGGCTCATGTGAGAGGTTATCAAGTCAGGAAGAATTACGGGGTAATCTGTTGGGCTGTTGGTGTTCTAGATAAGGTAGTACTGCGTTGGCGGCGTAAAGGTGTTGGCTTGCGAGGTTTCCACAGTGAACCAGATCCCATTGGTGAAAGTGAAGATGAGGACATCCTCAAAGTGTTCCGCAAGCAGAAAGTGGATGGAGCTGTTGACGAGGCCGTTTCACGTGTGCTGTCCATGGTTGATTCTCCGGATGCACGTCAACAATATCGCCGGATGCTTGAAAGATATAGTGAAGCTAAGGTAAGTAGACTGACTGCTTTGAAAGATCCGTTACTTGTTTTCGAACTTCTTTTGCAGTCGGATTATAATTCTGAATCTCTTCTACTGTTCTTTGCAGGCTAAACTGTCCAACACAAGTGAACAAGTGGAATCAACTCCTACAGGTGATATTTATGATATGGAAAGTGATGATTTCTTCCAGTTCTAGTAGGAGCACTTTGTGACCACCTTAACTAGCCTTCCTCCTAAACCTAATTTCATAGTTGTCTAGAATTGTTTTATAGTCTGCATTTCACCTTAGTAATGGTGCTGTATATGCTTCTTGTAACCAGTAAACACTATACTTATATCGATACAAGATAGGGTTGAGTCAGCTGGTATTATGACCAATAAATTTCCATGCCTTCCTCTTATTTTCCCATATGTATGCAGTTACCAAACCCAGCATCAACAAAAGAAAAACAATCTGTCCTCAACGTAGTTAATCGCATCGCCAACTAATAATTTTATTAAAATTAATATAATTTTAATAATCGTACGTGTTACTAGAGAAATATTCATATTATCTTATTTTATGTATATTTAAATTTTAATACTGTTTTTGTCCCATTAAATCTGTTCATAGTTGATATTTTAGTCAAATTTACCTTTGACTCATTATTATTTAAAATTTATTATTCATAAAAATATGAGAAATATATTTTTAAAACCTTAAATCTAGTGTTTTTAAATATATTTTTTTATAAAATTTAATTATTTAAAATATTTAAAATAATTATAGTCAAAGTTTAAATTTTTTAACTTGGATATATTTAATAGGATGGAAGGAATATTTATCTTAAAATAATAAAATTATAATATATCTCTTCTTAATAAAAAGTTAATATATCATTTTTTTCCACCGGAATGGATAAAACAGATGAATTCAATTAAAAGACGTTTCAATGCGCTATTAATGTCCGCTCTATCTATCTATGTGTGTAGCGCGGGTGTTTCTATTGTAGATCTCAATTTTGCTGATTTATATTACTAATGTTTGATCGTGTATGCTCTTAAACTTCAAAATATGCGAATAATTTAGCTCGACGAACCTTAATTTAGCTGTGTTTTTTATGCAAAATTTAATCGCATCAGTTCTTTAAGTAGTAGTATCTTTTTTTTTTTTTACTTCGGTTCATATTTCTCCTCCTTTTCAGAGTTGAAAAAAAAAAGAAAAAGAAAATGTAACTCTCTGGATGAGGTCTGATTCTTTTTATCCAATGTGAATTGTGATAAACTTTTATTTGGTTTACTTGTACATATGAAATTCGGATTTTGTTTTAATTACACCTATCAAACAAGTCACTTTAAATAGATTTATTTGTTATCACTTTGGGTTCGAGCATATCGTCACGTGTTTGAGTTTTAATTGTCAAATATTTAATAGTTTACTCTTTTGAATAATAAAAAAAATAAAAAATAAAAAGTAATGGTATCGGTGGAATGTCAAACAGAATCAAAATCAAAGTATCAAAATTTCATGTAAAATTACACATTGAATTATCACCTAAAAGCACTTCTCCTTTCTATGATAGTAAAAAGCTGCTTTAAATTTTATAGGGAAAAAAGATAACCCATTTACATGATGTGCTTTTTTCTTATGCGTGCAGACAACATCAAGGCGCCTTGCAGAGAGGAAGGTGGAGAAATTCCAGAAGAACATAACAAAGAGAGGAGAGGAGCTGTGCCTGAAACGTCCACAAAGAAAGGGAATGATTATCCTGTAGGTCCTATACTGCTTGGGTTCTTCGTGTTCGTTGTCATTGGATCATGTAAGTTAATCAGCAGCTAATCCTTTCACGATCATATTTCCCTTAGATAACCCAGAGTGACTTTTTGAAATGGCAAAGGCAATACATGAGTTTTGCCTTAATATGGTCGACATGCCCTTGATAATACAGATAGAAGTACATGGTGTACTATTATGTCTGTGCTTATGCCTGCTTCTTTAGTAAATGGTGTAATATGTTTATGCAATGTTTAGGGTCGGGTAAGAAGTAAGAAAAGGGAAAGAAAAGTATGGAGACAATAGAACCTTTACTTTTTCTTTTTTTAAAGTTAAGTTCTCGGGTTGCAATCTTCAAAGGGAATTGCTCAAAACTCCTATAGCTACAATTTAGAGGTATATTTGTTTGGTAACGAGTGGATAGCACGGACTCTTGAAGTTCATATCTTTATTTGTGTTAGATACGGGTCTACAATACATATACTTCAAGAAAAATGAAACGTCGAAATAATAGTGATTTTTTTACTCATTCTTTATAACAGCTCTCTTCCAGATTATCAGGACAGCGACCAGCGGAGGCTTTGCATTAGCTTGTGTAATCCATTTTAAGAAATTGCAGAGGATATTTGTCTTTCCATGTTTCTTTTTTTTTCTTTTTAAATTAGTTTTGTAGGAAACTGATGAAACATTTACTACATGTGATAACTCATGAAGTATTCAGAATTTCAATAAGATCTCACTTTCTTGTCTCAATTGTTGTTATATTTTATATGCTATTTTTTATTTTTAATGTTTCATTTGTAAATGAGTAATGGCTAAAAAAATATTCTGAATTAGAATATTCTAATTGTTGCGTTTCCTAAACAAACGCCACTAAAGTACGGTGAAACCACGACGTTTATTAAACAAACGCCGCAAATGTATGGTGAATGGCGGCATTTTTTTTTACAAAAACGCCACTAAAGTACACGATTGTATAGTGGATTGTGGCATTTTAAATTTCAGAATTTAAAAATTGTGGCACTATGAATGAATCCTATTTCGACGTTTGTATAAAAACACCGCTAAAGACTACTCTGCAGCGGCATTTGTTGAAAAAACGTCACTATTGAAAAAAATTACGATGTCTTTTAAACCAAACGTCACTATAGAACAAACTATTGCGACATTTTCAAACAAAACGCCAATAAAGGTTCAACGTATTGCGGCGTTTGTTTCAAAAATGCCACTAAAGAACGATTCTTTGGCGGCGTTTATTTTAAATTCCACTATAGTACTAGGATGTAGCTGCGTTTGTCTAAAAACGCCACAATATATGTACCATATTGCAGCGTTTGTCCAAAAATGCCACTAAAGAACAATTCTTTTGCGGCGCTTGTTTAGAAAAGCCGCTAAATTAGGATTATATGGCAGCGTTTATTTAAAAATGCCACTAAAGTACTTATATGTAGCGGCGTTTGTGAAATAAACGCTACTAAAGTTTGAGTTTTAGTCGTGTTTATGGAAAAACGCCGTTAATGTTATTATTTTGTGGCATTTTGGATATAAACGACGCGATATGTATAAATTTAGTGGTGTTTTCAAAGAAAACGTCGCTATATACCTGTTTTGTTGTAGTGAATGTGGCTCCAATGATTTAAGAACGAAAACCTTTATAATACAAAAATCTTGATAAATACCCTAAAATAAGCAATTGAATATCGGACGGCACATAATCAAGCAATGAAACTCAATAGTGATTAAGAATGGGTATCTTCACCCGTAGCTAGCCATCATGTTGCATTCTCATGTGATCTAAAGAAACTCCATAAACCATGCTTGATTTCAAATAGCATAGATAATTTTTACCGGTGAGAGAGGATCGAAGTCTGCTTTCGGGAGGCTTTTGCATAGTCTAATTGCATATGGAGGCATTCAAAACTAAAAACTATGGGTCCATGCCATTTGAAGACCAATGTAAAGACTCCACAGCTCGGCTCGAAGAGGCGTGACGATGCCGAGAGTTTTTCAAAATCCAACGATCCAACCATTATCGTTAGAGCGGTACGCACCTCTGATAAAAGCTAAAACCAGTAATAAATAACATCGAGGCATCGGTATTCAAACAAATCCCGTCTTACAGAGGAGTCCACCTAAAGCATTCCAGTCGGGAATGATGAGGAGCGGCATCCCGGAGGTTCCAGGCTAAAAGAAATATGAATAATACAATTTTAGTATATATAAACCAGACTTCACCATCTCGTGACCTACAAGATTAAAATTATCTTCGCTCCACTATTCACTTGTGTCCTTAGACTTACCTAATCTTTGTTCTACTCGTCTCACTATCCATTTTATATAAATATTTTTAAGTAATAGTTAAGTAAATATAAATCATTTTTTTATTAAAAAATATATATATGACCTTTGGACTCTCATATAGGGATGATCATGAGTCAGGTCAAATTTTCGATTTATCTAAACTATATCCGAAAATGAAATCCCTCCACTCACATATGATCTGACTCGATATCCGACCAAAATTTTAGATTAAATCCAACCCAAACCCAAAATCTCAAAATAAAACCTAACTTGATCGAGTCGGGTCGGGTTGAAACCTGTTATGTCCAGGTGAAATGCCCATTTTTACCCCATCATACGTGACATTATTTAAACTGCCACCATTTAGAAAAAGCACCACGATCTTTTAATTAATAAATTAAAATATAATCCCAACATAAATTTAAGTTTTTAAAAAATATTTTTTTACATATATACAAATACAAATAATATAGAACAAATAAAAATGAGACGAGACAGATGAAATTAAAACAAATATAGAATTATAATCGGTATGCACAAAAAATCTAAATTTTATCTCCGTCCCATCAATGAAATTTATACTCGTCTCCACCTAATTGATGGGGATATGAGGGTAGGGGTGTAAAATGTTAGACTCGACTTATAAAATTAATTAAAATCGATTTGAATTAAAATTATTTTTGACATACGTTGTGGCGATTCGAAACTGACTCGAGTTGAAACTGGTGTTGACCTGAACCTGAGTTGGACCTGAAAATTGTGGATCTGAACCTGACCTGAGAACAACCTGAACCTGAATCAAACCGAAAATATGATACCCGAACTATATCTGACTGATATGAACCTAAACCCGAGATTGACCTGGTAAATAACTGGTATTACCCGACCTGTTTTCAACCTGACCTGTTATGAACCTGACCTGTAATTTACTCAACCTGTAAATGATCCGACATGTTGTTGAATTGATCTGATATTTACGTGACTTATAAGTAATAAATTACAATTAATATAATTATGTTATTTTAAATTTATAATAAACTTATGATAATTAAATTAATATGATTACTTTTTGAAATTTAGTTTTTATATTAATTTCAATTCTTTATATTATTTATAATTCTTATGTTATAAATTTTATTTAT